TGATAAAAATCTGTGTTATCTCTTTACTTAGGTCTTCTCAAGTGGGCTTCAGTTTCTTCAGTCTACAGATTTACATAACTAAAGAACTTATCTTGAGTTTGCACTGCCTGGTACCAATTTGTATTTCTCTGTATAACCAAGATTACACAGATACCTCTGACCTGTCAGTTATGCTGATGCAGCCATAGTTACAGGTATTCTATTCCAACTGATCAATTAAATGCTGTTGTCATAATATGAATATTACATAGGTAATTATTCAAATTTTACTGTCTGTAGGTTTTGAACTCACAACTACCACTTAGAAGGTTGACAACCTGACCACTTTACTAGGTTGCCACACCTTTTTAAATTAATTATTTAAAATAATACAACTTATAAAACTCTAAAGAATTATCTTAAAATTTCTCAAGTAACTTATCAATTGTTAGAGAATAAAGTTACACTTTCAGATTTTTTATTAACATATAAATCTGAGTATTCTTAAAAATAAAATTTCATTAATTAAAATAAAAAAAATTAGAATTTAAGTGTACAAGATAAAATTTTGTAAAGAAATTAAAGAAGTGCAATGCTAAGATGCATTCTTTAAAAATTGTATATAATTTAATAATTAAATATATTAATATATTAATATAATTTACTTGGTTGATTTACTACCCTAGTACAACTAGGTTCAAAACGACCAAATATGATCAGGTAAGTTATCTGTTCTAGAAATCTTATAGAACAATTTTTTTTGTACTAAGAAAATTTGGATTAATTTAAGAAAACTTTATGTCATATGTAAGTATATTTTCTAAAATAGATACTACATTAAAAATTTTACTATTTGTTAATAAAAGTTTTTAATTATGTGTTACAAGATTTTGGTAAAATTTAAACATGACTTTAAAATTTTTTATTAGTAGTGTAATTTTGTACTTTATAAAAAATTTATTGTAAGACTAAAACTATATAAAAAATAATTGACATACACTCTACCCTTAAATATCTAGGCTTCTAAATTATTTATAAGAGATCTGAAAAGTATAGTATATTTATAAAAGCTAATTGGATATATAAAAAATTTAACAAATACCAAAAAAGTGAAAAATTAAGAGTAATCTGGCAAATTTTTTAAAATGTTAATGAATACTTATATAAATAGATTTTAGTTTTTGTCTTTTGTTTATATCTTGATGAAGTTTGGTTTGTTTATAATGAATTATATATCAAAATAACTGGCTCAGAAAGCTTAGTATTTTCTAATAAGAAGCAAGATATATTTACTTAATAAAATATTTAAAAAATTGTCAAAAACTAAAATTTTGATTTTTGAAACTTTTTTTAGTAACTAAGTGTTGTAAAAACTTAAAACTTGGCCATCTAGAAGAATAAAAGTATGCTCAATAACATTATTTAAGAAAACAAGTAAGATTTATTTAATAAGATATTAAAGAAATAGTTAAATGTTTTTAGTAAAATTTTAGTACAAATGATCTAAAAAGAGAGTTACAAAATTAGTTCTCTAAAAAATCCTAATATTAAAATTAATATTTTTTATTATTAATATTAAGAATTTTATTAAAAATTCTAATATCAATAATTACTTGTTTTAATTTTAATATTAGCTTACTTTAATAATTATATTACACTAAGTTTATTATTATTGCAATTAATATTAAAATTCTGATATTAATAGTTTTTATCTGTCTTTTTAATAGTAAATATAACAGGTATTTATTTTTTTAATAGCAAATATAGACTGTATAACAGATAAATAAATGATTAAATTTTTGTAATTTATTTGTTATATAAAATAAAACTTTATTGAATGTTTTGTATTTTATAACAATATATCTTGCTTTGACTTTAATGTGTTTGTAATCTAAAATTAAGGTTAGATATCTACTTTTATTTGTTAAATAAAATAATTATCTTTAAAGTTTTATAAAAAAATCTAATAAAAAAAATTTGATATTATTTGTTGTAATATATATTTTATTTGGAATATTTTAAATCTCTATATAAATATATTTGATAATATTGAAATTTAATAATACTTAAAAAAATACTAATAAATTAATATATATAATATATAATATATTATTATAATAATAAATAAAATATATAATTGATGCAAATCATTAACTCTTTCCAATGATCATTTGTATCAAATTTTCTCTAAACATAATTACTTTTTTCTTAATTTTTTATTAAATAAACCTACTTTAGCTGACTAAGTAAAATGTTTCTAACAGAATTTTATATATAGATGACTCAGTTTTATATCCTCAAAGGCATTTATTACTAGAATATAATTAAACTTTGTAACTTTTTTCTTTCTGCAAAAACTCAAAAGTTTATTAAGTAAATCATAGTTATTATATGGAACAAACTTGTTCAGCTTATTTTTGCTATTATTTTAATATATTATACACTATAAATAGTTTAAACCTGACAATTATATAATAAAAATACTTCAAAACTCTCTTGAAAACTATATTCTACTTTTGAAAAAAAATTTCTACTTTTATAGAGGATTCTGGTTCTTTAGGATGCCCCAGACCTGCAGATCTAAATTACTAATTAATATTATTAATCTATTTATATAAATCTAACTTTGTTTTATCTATTTTTAATTTTTATCAATTTAGTCTTAACTAAATTATACAACTCTTGTTATATAGTAATTATATTGATCACTTAGGTGTCACACTGTATGTTATCTTAAACATTATACTTCTTTATTTGGCACATTCCTTATTTGTCACACCCCAATTTCAAAAATAGCTCCAAAAAATGCTTATACTAACTAACTCTCAGGAACCAGATTCGAATAGCATTAATTACTATTATTCTAAATATAAAGACAGATATGGAGTTAAACTTTAAGAAAATAAACCTCAAGCACTACATATTCTACCAGTTTCCACTAAATCTGATATCTGTAATAAGAAAAAGTAACATTACTATTTTAAAGTTTCTCTTCAACCTGCTATTGCAACTTGTTTTTGTGATAAGTTTCATATAAGCTTTATCTCTAAACATTATAAAATTAGTTATCCAACAACAATTGATCAACCTTCAAACCTAAATCAAACTTAAATTAGAACTACTATCTTTGTATAAAGCTTCAAACAATCAGACAAACTATCTGCTCCTTCAATTTCTAAATTAATAAACCAAATACAATTTTCTTCTTCTTTCTCTTTAGCATGTCTTCTTTTTTCAATCTTTTAAACAAATTCAGCTTCTACAGCCATAATTGCTCACTCTTAATACTATTATATTTGTTTCTTTTATAAAGTCAAAAATATTCAATATGTTTTTACAAATAACCAACATAATCATGCACCAGACTACACAGTAGCATGTATTTTTAAAGGCTCTCTAATTCATCAATCTTGCATACCCAAGATTCCAAATATTGAACTTAAACTTTTTTACTAAACTCTATTAAATCCAAATCACAAAAAAATTGTTATCCTCCATAAATTTAGTATTATGTCAGCAAAAGACAAAATTTAACTTTATAATTCAATCTTTTTTAAAAATCTAACTCTTAACAATCTACAAAACAACAAAAACAAAAACAAAACCAAATTATTAAAGATACTTTTAATAATCTTAATTGGTTTAAAGAATATCTTATAACTGACAAAATGAAACATCATATTTATTTTGACAACAAACTAACTTCACAAATCCTTAATTTTATCAAATCACATCTTATTAATGTATATTCTGATAAAATTATCGAACAAATAACTAAAGACAAACCAGCATCCAAGTTTAACTATATGTACTTAATTAAAACTTTAGCTAAACTCTGCCCTAAGTTTTTAACAGATCTTATATATGAAAACAACCCATTTATAGATAAATCTTTTTCTATTCTATTTGAATTAATTCACTCAATTTTTATTGCATTACTTAAGAAATTCACTACTACTCCTCTTACTTATCTTAATTATCCTAAATTTTTGCTTTATATAGCTCAATTCCACTCTATACTACCTTAACCAGAATATAAATTGCACTTAATTTAGCTCATTTATATCTTATTCTTCATAACAAATACAAAACCATTAATGCAAAAAAATTCAATAAAAATCTTAAACTTTATCCTATTATTAGTAAAGATAGTGTTAACTAACCTTTCTTTAAAATACAAAATAATGACAAATTTAACATTAATATTTCTCTTAATATATCTAAACAAAACTTTCTTCAAACATTTCAAATCCCTTCTCTTAACAATTATCTAACAGATTTTAAATCATGATTTGAAATTTTCTTTAATATTTACAAACATCAATTTATCAAAATTAATAAACAAAAAACCTTTAACTTTATTAAATATCAAATTATTTTTAAACTCTTCAACATATGTAAAGCCTTTTTATCTCAGCAATTTACTATCAACTCCATTAACTTATTACATAAACATTCTTAACAATGCTTTAAAGCAGCACTTTATTATATTTATATTTGTATTGTAACAAATTGTACTATACTTTCTAAAGATACTAAACATGATGTTAAAAACCTATTCACTTTTTTTTTTAAAGAATTATTCAAACACTTTTCTGTATCTGTTAACTCAGACCTTTTCTCAAGTTTCAAGCCCAAATACCTACATCCAATTCTGAACATCTTTATATTTAGACATAATAATGATTTTCCTGCTACTTTTTAAAAATTCATACTAATTACCTATTTATGACAATTTGCAACTAAAGCTAAAGAAAAATTCTTAAAAGAAAACAAACTTGACAAAGCAGAAAATTCAGATTATAGTTGTAAAAGTTACTACTTTTATACATATTTTAATGCATATCTAAAAGCAGCTGCTATTAATAATCAAATTAATAAGCTTTATCTTTAACAAGCAATTGATAAAATTGCATCTAAACCAGTTGATACTCATTACTTAGTCAGAGTAATCACTTATTTTTATATTCTTAAATCTTTTAACAAACTATCTATCTTAATATTAGAAAAGCTTACAAAGAATGTTTTTATTCAAAAGTAGAGAAAACTTTGTTTTTAAAATTCAAAGTACAATTTAAAGCTTCTAAAAGTAGTACTAACACCTTCAAACCCAAATCCAACCCTAAACTTATCTTAGGATGAAAACCTTACTGAAACCTGCAATTATACTGACAGTGTTTTTCTCCTTCAGAAAAAGGATCTGCAAAGACTATTGGTCACATGATATACATTGCAAAACCAAATTGAAAATTGAATACTGAGATCACAAAACCAAAATTAAACTAATACTTGATAACTAAAAGAGGTATTGCAACTGCACAAACATTTGAACACATTAAAAACACTCTTGCTTGAAAAGCTCCTTCTTATAAGAAGTTTCTTGAACAAGAATTAGAAAAATTAGTTAATTCTACTGAACAAAAAGACAGAACTTTTGTCTTTTCTTTAAAAACCCTAGAACTAGCTGACTATTATTTTACTCAATTGAAACAAACCCAAGTTTCTGATCCTTAAAAAACATACAAATATATAATAATTTTTTATTTATTATATAAACTTTAATTTTTAGAGATATATATTAAAAATATTTATACATTAAAGAGAACATTTAGCAGGATCTCTTTTGAGTCAAACAAATGACTCTTGTAACATTTGCTACCCAGTAACTACTTTTATTCTTCAAAACTTTTAAAATTTCTATCAGTGATATTATATACAATATTCTGTTAGTAACTTTTTTAACAATTACTAAAATATTTTTAACAGAAATCTTCTATTTATACTTAGTTTAATCTACCTCAATCAAAAAATACTATTTTTAAATTCATTTTTAATTTTAGATATACCTGTTCTTCTGATAATATTATTGAAATAATCAATAGTATAGCTAGTTTAGTTGTATATATTAGTTGCTTTTACAAAAACTCTTTTTCTTTAACTAATAAAGATTTTGAAGACTATTACTTTTACAATGATTTTGAAGATTATAGTGATTCATTTCAAAATCTTTTCTCTCTAACAACTTCTAACTTAGTACAATTTAGTTCTATATACAAATCTGCTAGTCTACTTATCAATACAATGACTACTAATCAACAAATCTTAAATTCTTAAAGAAAAATGAAAAAGGAAGTATGTTATTAAAAATTGAACTATTCAAAGGAGATGGAACTCAAGACCCTCTTACTTGGATTGAAGTTTTGATAAAGCTTCCAAAGCAAACAAATGAAATTTAGCTAGAAAAAAAAATATCCTCACTGCTTTTTTAAGAGATAATGCTAATAATTGGACCACTACTGTTCTCAATTATGCTGATGTAGAAACAACTTGGAATCATATAGAAACAGCTTTTACAAATACCTTCTGCACCCAACAATGGCAAAATAAATGGATTAGAGACTTGAATACCTTAAAACAAGAACTAGAAGAATTTGTAGACTCTTATTACAGTAGATTTAAAAGATTAATCAAATGAGCTAATACTAGAACTCCACTTCAAGATGCACAGAAGTTATATTATTTCAAGAAAGGATTATGTTCAGCAACTCTACCCATTCTTCTTACTCATAATCCTGCAAACTTAGATGGACTTCTTCAACTTGCCAGGACTCATGAACAAGGAACTGACTTTTGTACTAATGCTGATTCTGGCTTAACTAATTCTAATATTGCTGTATATGAAAAGGAAATAGAACAATTAACCAAACAAATGAACCAGATGTCATTAAACTATGCATCTATTGTATTTGCTTTAAGTGCTCAAACTGAACTCAATATTGTTTAAACCAATCTAGGCAATTTTACCAAAAACTAAAACCTGTTAATAATCTGAGACCTAATAACTATTCAAAATTTACTAATAATTCAAGACCCAATATTATTTGTTATCAATTTAGTGAATATGGATACATTGCTAGAGACTGTATGGCAGAATGATTACCTACCAAAGAACAATATTATCAGATGAATGCAAAACCACAAACAAATAGAAAAATTAATTATACTGCTGTAGAAAATAAAGAATATTATTTAGATGAAAAAGAAGTGTATATTACTTACACTCCTTATTCTAAACTCTATAGTACTAATTGAAAAGTACAAAAAGAAGCCAAAAGAGAAACTCAAAAGAAATCAAAATCTCAAAAAGAAATTAGATTAAGAAACTAAACTGTATTTTCTAATAAATCTAAATTAGAAGACATGGTTGATGAGCCAATTAAAATCCTTAAACCTCTCAAAACTACTAGGAAAAAAAATCAAAAAACTTTCTTATATAATTGACCAATTGGAACCTTATGATTTCTCCAAAGATCTCTTGAATAGACAAGCTCAAGCTATCTATGAACAATTATTGTAATGTCCTAACCAATGTAAAAACCTTGCCCAAACTATAAAAAGAGGTAATGCACCTATTACTAAAGCAAAATATGTAGAATTAGGACCCAAATGAAAGACAGTAGCAATGAAATGCTATGTAAACATTAAAGAAAAGTCAGTAATAGCTATTCTTGATACTGATGCTATCATTAGCATAATTACAGCTAAATTAATAAAAAATTTTGGACTAAAAATCAATTAAGAATCAAAAACTATTGTTGTTACTGCTAATAGAACTAGAGAAAAAGCATTAAGTTCTATTACTAATGTGAAAATCATTCTCTAAAACATCATGATCCTTATTGACTTACAAGTAATTAAGTCAAAAGATGAAATACTTTTGTTAGAAACTGACTGGTTAAACAAGTTCAGAGCAAATCTGAATTTCGATAATTATACTCTAAAAATTGGATACTTAGGAAAATAGCTACTATTTATACAACCCATGTAAGTAAAGAGCCAGTATCTGAAGAATTTGAAGAATTTACTAATGAAGATGAATAGATTAATGAAATTGAACAAGATGATAAAATAAAAACTTATTATACTGAAAAAGGAAGACAAGAAGATGATACTTTATTCTATAACCCCTGGATTGAAGACATTACTAAAAAGAACCTAGCAGCCTATATTGCTCTTACTGCTGAAGTTGAGATTTAACCTTCTATTATGCAAATCAACACTTTTCTTACTAACTCTGAGAAAAAAATTGCAGAAAAAATTCTTCTTAATAATTACTACATTTTTGCAGAAAACATATCTAAGGAAAGACAAACTTTAGAACTAAGGCAAACTAATAAAGTTTGTCATGAAATTTATATTTCAGATGCTTGTCTAATTAAATAAAGAGCCTATAGAGCTTCTTCAGATGATCAAGAATTTCTCAAAAAAGAAATTAAAGAAATAGTAAAAAGAGAAATTATTAGAGAATCATGTAGTCCATAGTCTTCATCTGTAGTTATTGTATCTAAGAAAAATGGCAAAAAGAGACTCTGTATTGACTATCGCAAACTAAATGCAGTTACAGAAAAAGATGTCTATCCACTTCCTGATATTAATGAAATCTTATTTGTCTTTGAAGGAGCCCAATGGTTTACTAGTTTAGATCTGGCTAGCAGATATTGGCAAGTAGCTATAAATGAAGTTAATAAAAAAAAAACTGTCTTTATTAGTAGACAAGGCACCTATGAATTCAATGTAATGTCTTTTGGACTATACAATGCACCTGCCACTTTTCAAAGATTAATAGACAAGATTTTATGACTATTTATTAACAAGTTTGTTGTAGTATATTTGGATAATATTACTATTTACTCAAAAACATTTGAAGAACATTGTCAACATTTGCAAACTGTATTTAAAGCTTTAGAAAAAGCTAACCTAAAATTAAATACAAAAAAATGTTTCTTTTTCTTAAATGAATTAAAATTTTTAGAACATATTGTCAGAAAGGATAAAATAAAACCTGATAAAGAAAAGATTACTAAAGTGAAAAACTTTTCAACACTTACTAATGTGTAACAAATTAGAGGATTTTTAGGATTTGCTTCCTATTACAGAAAGTTTATAAAAGAATTTTCAAAAATTGCCAAACCTTTAAATCTTTTATTACAAAAAGACCAACCTTATCAATGGGAAGATGAACAAAAAGAAGCTTTTCAGACCCTTAAAGTTATCTTATCTTTGCACCAATTCTATATTCATACCAATGCCTTACAATCTGGCTTAGAAGCTGTATTAGCTCAAATAGACAAAGATAAAAAAAAACATGTCATAGTATATGCTAGCAGAAGCTTCTCAAAAGCAGAACAAAACTACTCTGCTACAAAATTAAAATGTTTAGCTATAGTATGGGCAGTTAAGCATTTTTATCAATACTTAGGAAAAAACTACTTCTATGTAATTACTGATCATGCAGTCTTAAAATGACTTAGAACTACAAAATTAACTGAAAGAAGAGCCAGATGAATTATGTATTTAGAACCTTATAACTTTACTATAATCTATAGAGCTGAAAGAAAACACAATAATGCTAACTTATTATTAAGAATATATGAATTAGATAAATCATCAAAAGAAGAATATAAAGCAAACTTGTTTAATTTAATTACCAAAAAAGAAGTTCTTAAAGCTGCTCTCAAAGGAAACTCTATTACTATTCTAGTAAATTGGAATGAAGAAAAAATCTTTTACTTTACTGAAGAACCTGAAGAAAATAAAAATTACCAGACTACTGAAGATTTTTATTTTATGGACAACCCTTGAAGTGATGTAGAATTTCTAAATAGAACAGAAATGCCTTCAACAACTAATCTAGATATAAAAAAAAAACCCGAAATGCATAAAGATGTCTAAACAACACAAAATCTATAAATAGTTAAGCAAACACTACATGATAAATTATTTCTTGCTTTTCTTGATAGTATAAGACTATATGAATAAATGACTTTCTTATCTGATGGAATAGAATATGATAACCAGTTCTGTACCTAGTATTATATTGAACATATTTGCAAATAATTTGGTATTAAAGATAAAAACAAAGGACTTGTCTAAGATTAGAAAGGTCCCTGTACTCAATGTTGATATAGAAATAAGCTTTATAGTCCTTGTGATGAATGTTCAACCTGCTTTGTTGAACTGTGACTTTGGGCAACAATCAAATGATACTCTATTAAAAAAATAGGACAATGTTATTGAAGTACACCTGATAATGATTATGAAGGAAATCCAATCTTGCCAGAACCTTACCCCTATGAAGCTTTACCCTTAGAACCTTTATTTAGATAACAGTCAGACTCTTTGGATATTCAACAAGCTACTACCAATATTCAAATAAACCATTATAATATCCAACTCAGTTATATTCTAATTGACAAACCTTGGTAGTTATCATTATTAAAAACCCCTTTCCAATATCTCTTAGATAAACATAACAATTTTTCTCCTAACTATCTTTGTAACTCTATATAATGGAAAACACCTAATTCTACTTTTTATTATTAAATTATTATTCTTTCAAAGAAACTTGACAATAAACACAATTCAGTATAGGTAGTTGGTATCTTAGCATTATATTTAAAAAATCTATTAGAATGAAACCTAAACACTATCAAAATATCAAACTATTTTTGGAAACAGCCACCTATCTTACACATTTTTCAAAAACATAAAAAGAACAATTACAAAAGAAAAGTTGATATTTTTTATCAAAAATAACCAATTATATAAAGAAAACAAAACAAATATCAAAATTCACTAAAAGTTATTCAAAAACATGAGGTTGAATCTGTATTATACCTTATGCATAACCATCCTCTTGGAGCATATTTTGGAACTAACAAAATGTTTAACAAAATCAAAAATCATTACTATTGGTCCCAAATATATGAACATATTTGAAATTATATGAAGACTTGTGATAGTTATCAAAAATGATAAAAATATAGACAATATGGTTCTCTATACTTTATCAAAGTAGAAGCACCTTTTGACAAAATTGGAATTAATTTTGTTGAACCACTTCCTCTTACTACTCAAGAAAACCGATATATAATTATTGCTATAGATTATTTGACTAAGTATCCTGAAGCAAAAGCAGTGCCAAATGCAACTGCACAACAAACTGCTAATTTTATTTATAAAGATATTATTTGTAGACATAGATGTTCTAATTTTATATTCTCTAATCAAGGAACACATTTTAATAATTTGCTAATTAAAAATGTAATGCAAAAGTTTCAAATTAAACACTTACTAACTACTCTTTATCATCCTCAAACAAATGGATTAGTAGAACATTTTAATAGAATATTGTATGAAGCTTTAATGAAACTAGCTAATAACAATACTGAATGTGACAAATTAATATCTTCTATCTTATTTTTATATAGAAGTTCTAAGCATGCAACTACTAAATTTACACATTTCTTGTTTATTTATAACAGAGAACCAAAATTGTCTATATTCAAATCTTAAGACAACTTAGAAGAAAATCTTTTAACAAGACTGTACACAATTGTAGAATATTTATCTGCAAATAAAGAACAAGTTAAAAAAAATGTTAAGAAATCTCAATAATGATAAAAATTCTTTTGGACAAGAAATTAAAGAAAGTTTGAAAACTATTTAAAAAAAAAGAGCAAGTATTGTGCTATGATGCTGCAAGAGATAAACATTTCACAAAAAAATTTTTGCCAAGATGGAAAGAATCTTATTTTATTCATATCAAAATAGTACAAGAAATTTACAAACTTTGAACCATGGAAGGATAAATTTTAGAAATACCAATTAATGCATATTTATTAAAAAAATATTATATTTATCAAACTTGGAATTCCACTATTATTATTAATTAGATTTCAAAAACTTTATTTTATTATTAGTTATTTATATACTTATATTTTATTATAAAAAAAAAAAGAAATAAAAGCAGATAATAATAAAAAAATATATATATAAAAAGAAAAAAAAAAGTATATATATTGTTAAGTTACAAAAATGACCATAACTCTGGAACCACTAGACAGAATTCAATGAAACCATCACCATTCGAATCAGCTCACTAAGATGATTCTAATAAGGTATAGATCATCCATTTCCAATCACAGGATCACAAGATCGAATCTGATAACCAAATAAATAAAAAAGCTGCAATCTGATTGGTTGATAATAACTGCACGAAATATCATACATATAACATATATAACATTTATGTAATTTGAAGCATCTATATTTTATATTATCTTTAGTTTACATATATTATTTAGTTTATTTCTTTTATTTATTTTATATA